CGCGATTGGCCCATATGTTGTAGTCTTTTGGACGCTGAGTCGACTGGTTTTGGTCCGAAAAGGCTGCGATGCAGCGTTCCTCCTTTATTCCCAATCGAACATGGTTGAACAAGCGGTCACGTGCTCCTGCGTACACCAGTCAGCTGGTCACCGTGCCTGCAGGGTACAACTTACTAGCCTGTTTGACCTTTTTTGGGTGCAGTCCTGTCACTCGAGTTGAACTCGAGTTGAACCTTGGTGTGAAAGTTGTCGCCTGCTGGCGCGGTGACCAGGTGATTTGGGCACCCAGGAGCACGTGACCGCTTGTTCAACCATGTTCGATTGGGAATAAAGGAGGAACGCTGCATTGCAGCCTTTTCGGACCAAAACCAGTCGACTCAGCGTCCAAAAGACTACAACATATGGGCCAATCGCGGTCATCCGTGCTTTTATAAGAACGAAATGGCGCTTTTAGTGACATTTTGCATACAAATCCCCATCTAGTAGGGCGCAGTCACCCAGTTTCGGTGGAAGTGCGCGAGTTCGATTGGGATTCAAGTAGGAAGGGAGCGTCGCAGCTTCCTCGGACCAAGACCATTCGACTCAGCACCCAGAAGACTACAACTGGTGAAAATTTGATTTTAGGGTATACTTCCCCTTTAAACGCTGTCGCGGCGACTATCCCGTACGCGAAATAGTTGAGAACTGCTGACGTGGACCTTTTGCACCTGGAACGGCCCCGTAAACGCTGTCGTGTCGGCGGAGTGAATGTGCAGGGTGCTGCAAAGACGTCCCCTCTACTAGGCTCTAGGCCTTTGGAGACATGGCGAACTGAATGCGCAGGGCGAAAAGAATTGCTGCAAAGACGTCCGCTCTAGGCCTTTGGAGACATCGTGGGAACTCCTTCCGGTACTATACAAACTGCTGACGTGGCCGTGGACATGTACATGGAGAGTCATGGTGGGACTTCATGTACATGGATACATGGTGGGAATTCCTTCCGGCACCCCCGTACCGCAAAGCCAACGGTGGGGAAGGAGAAGTGCAGACGTGCAGGAAGACGAACGAGGAGGAACCAGGACGAGCGAGCAATGGCAGGACTAGCTGGACCGTAAGTAATAGCTGAATTGTGCATGACAACTTGACATCCATGCGGCACTCGCCACTTGCCACTGCATATTTCTTGTCCACTAACAATGTCTCTCCTCTGCCCCCTGTGTGTCCACGGACCACGGCCCTGTTGCTGAATTGGCCCGATGAATCGAATGTCTTCCGCAACTGGAACGGCCCCGTAAACACTGTCGCGTCGGCGACTGAATGCGCAGGAGGGAAAATATTGCTGCGAAGACGTCTCCTCTAGACGACGGTAAGGCACCCCATTGATATGTTGCCAGTGTGTGCCAGGGTATCGCGCGATGGTGAATGAGGAATGATGAAGGGTACGGTGGGACTGTAGACCTGTTACCTTTTACTAACACGTTATCAGGTGGAGAGTGTCTTGTACTCACGTTATCAGGTCGAGAGCGTATTGTAGTCACTCTCTCTATTCCTGTACTTCATTACGTTTAAGGTGTACGTATAACTTCTCAAAAAAATTTAATGGTCTACAGTCGTGTCGGAAGGGTACGGTGGGACTGTAGACATGTTACCTTCTAACACGTTATCAAGTGGAGAGTGTCTTGTACTCACGTTATCACTATAGCAGGTCGAGAGCGTATTGTAGTCACTCTCTCTATTCCTGTACTTCATTACGTTACAGGTGTACGTATAACTTTTCCAAAAAAAATTAATGGTTCACGTCTTCAGATAGAAAGCGTATTGCACCCACTGTCTAGTCTCTGTAGTGCATTGAGATTTTGTTGATCGAACATGAAATGGATACACAGACCAGGGCCGGAGGAAGGAGTTGGGGAGTGGTCCGGCCAACCTCTGAGGGGGGTGCGGGGACCTCCCCCGGGAGAAATATTTTAAATTTACGTGAAATAGAGCGAATTTGGGCATCTCTAAGGCTCCAGAAAATGCAGAAAATTATAGTAAAAGAACACAAACACAACTTTTTATCCATATCAGCCATACAGTGCCGGTCACGGAGTCCTGAGCTACTTCGAAGCACATCACACGTCGGCAGTACAGTCGAGTCATGTACCTCTGGATTTTTTTACACCGGTTTTGCACGAATCACATGGACCATCCAGCTGGGAAAGTGGTCCGGCCATGGCCGGACCAGCCTGACCGGTTCCGCCGGCCCTGCAGACAAAGCCAGGCCAAGTACATGGCGAGATGTCGCCAGAAGAACGTCTTCAGGTAGAGAGCGTATTGCACCCACTGTCTAGTCGATTTTGTGGATCGCACATGAAATGGATACACAGACAAAGCAGGCCAAGTACATGAGAGAGTGGACGATGTGCAGATCGACACGGCCTGCGGGTACTTCATTAAAGTTATCCGTGACATAACTAGGATAAAAGTTAATCACTGCAAAAACATTGCCAAGTATGTGAGCACTTTGGACTTGACAGAAGGGTGCACGGGCGACGTTGACAAAACATACTGCGGTGACTGTCACTATCATGACAGCAGGGCACATCGCACACAGCATCGCAGATGGTGTCGAATTGCGCATCATAATATTGCAAAATTGCTCCTGTGCATGCAAGTGGATTTCATTGCACTTCTCAGTTTGGGAAATGCTCGATTATGACAATTCTCCATGTGAGTGCACTAGCCCTGAACAGACATGTAGGTGAACCGTTTGTGGTGTCTCATAGCCTACCTCACGACCTTCTGCTTTCTTTCTTCATCACTTGTATCTTGCAGGTATATCATCCCGTGACGACCACATTGAAGTCTGAATTTGAAGTGTGAAGATGCTTCAGCAACCACATCGTACTTTTCCATTGCTTTCATTGTGCTTCTACTGTGCATGTGTGTAACTTGTGGGGTAAACATGTGATGACATTGTATGCTGGCGACACGGTCAGATGTTCATGCGTCTAACGTACACCTGCATGTTATGCATTGAAAAAGGGTTTGCCACTTGCGATCCTGGGACGAGTATCAGGTCCGCTTTGTCCTCTGTGGGCTGTATCAGATTGCTGTTCACTTCTCTATCTGTTGGATATGTGACTTTCTGCAAGTTTCTGGTGTATGATGGCCACGTCCTTGCTTGTCACTTTGTATGATATTACATTCTGTATTCGCTGCTTCCATGGCATGGTCTGCAAACTGCAATCCTTGGGCAAATGTCATGTTTGCTATGTTGTGCTTTGGCCGTCAGCTTGTCTACACGCTGTAGTTGAATTATTTTTGTTTCACAACTGACTTCCTCAAGTACGGTGGCCACTGCTTTGCATGGCATTATACATGAAGAATTTCCTGTTTGTGTCGTGTGCATGTGCGTATGTGTGCGTGGCCACGTGTGTGTGCCGTGTGCATACACATGTTTGTGTATCTGTGTGCGGGGTAGCGAGGCGGGGAGGGCTGGTATGTATCAGTGTGTTATTGCAGTCGCATGGCTACATACAGTACATCGCGCGCGTGGTCATCATGTTTACCTTCGGGGTTGGGGTGGGGAGCCGGAGGGAACGGAAAAAGACCTGAAATTATCCATATAAAAATCGCTCTGTGAGCGGTTCTGAAAAACCTTTACTGGTACTGCCCCGTCGTAAAAGTAAGAAATTAGAACTGGCCCATTGTCCCCCCAAATGCGAACTGATCCACCTAAATCGCGAATGACGGGACCCGAACGCACCAGTAGCACGAGGTTCCTACCTGTGGATGCAGATGGGGACGTTGGTCCGGACCATAGGCCATGTACTGTACTAGCGGTAGGCTTCCCTATCAAAATAATAAATTCTACTGCTACTACTGGTGTTACCCTATGATAAGGCCGCGGTCACACCGAGCTCGATTCAGCCGTTCAGCCGAAACAAGCGCTTGTTTACGTCACTATTACCATGGAAATGGCTGAAAAATGTCCTACAAGCGACTTTCAGCCGTGGCTGACTCTCAGCCGTTTTTTTCCGGCTTGTTTCAGCCACAGCTTGTACAAGCGGCTGAAAGCCGAAATTCAAAAAATAATTTGAGTGCGCTTGGAGCTCCGGAGCACACCATGTAGCTAGTTGACATGATGAACTGATATTGATGTTCTTTCTTGTGTCCGTGGAACCGTGCTATCCCTGTGCCTTTGGTTTTGACCGTGAGTCTGTCTACCCCAACTACACTGTATTCAGTTTGATTTGGATTTTGTCCGATGACCATGGATTTCTGCCGCTGTGCCTCTAGACTGCTGCGTGGATTGTTGGAGCTGTGGTTTGAGGCCAAGACAAGGCACCACACTCACGACCGAATTCATGAAGAAAGCCGGGTACGAAGAAGAGAGTGGATTGCAACTGAGTTCAATAACGGCAACCGGCGGGGCAGAAAGCTCGACATCAGGAAACACCACCCGAACCATCGCGTCCATGCACACCCAACAAATAAAAAGAGCACGACTTCGCAATTCAGAATCCGGGCTTCTTTTGCTTCTTCATCAAAACTGAACACTAGAACAAGTACAGTTTTAGATCGCGAACGTTCTGCTCTCCAGTTTCTTGCAAACATTGGTGTGTTTCGAGATATTCAAAATTTGGCGGGTATGAAAAACAAGCCATTCAAGCTTTGCACTCAAGGTCTGGTGTGACCGCGTCACCATGGTCACAGGGATCACGCAAGCCAGCTGAGCGCCAGCGATAACAAGCCCAAAGTGGCTTGTTTCGGTGTGACCGGGGCCTAATTGCCGTGCACGCGTGATCCTGTGCCATCCCGACCTCGTGCTACTGGTGCGTTCGGGTCCCGTCATTCGCGATTTAGGTGGATCAGTTCGCATTTGGGGGGACAATGGGCCAGTTCTAATTTCTTACTTTTACGACGGGGCAGTACCAGTAAAGGTTTTTCAGAACCGCTCACAGAGCGATTTTTATATGGATAATGATTATGTAAACGTTTCGAATCTGCATTCCTGTCGTTTGTTACCTCACAAGAAATACCCGTCCGGCGTCCCTACTGCATGTTTGTGGCAATGGAAGTTAAAACTGACCCATACTGATTGCACATCAAAAGCTTCGCACTTGGAAAAACAGTTTGTCCCACTAGTACATGTATTTATTACGTGTCTCTAGATAATTGTACTAGCGGTGTAACTATTAGTCTATTTACTTGAAGCGACTTACTTCGGACGGGCAGACATTTCAATCACTGCACTTATAGGATTCGTTTTCAGCCTCTCCAGATATTAAACAGATTCATGTAACTCTTTTCACTCCGTCTCTCGTCTGTCACGATGGAGTATATATTTCATGAGAAGGTACTGCACTGGTTCACGTCTCTATTTGCTTGTCATCTGTATTCTTGCTCCGCTTTTCACATTTGTACATATCAGAAATTTGTTGGTAGTTTGAATATTATGGTGAGACTGGCTTGCTGTACTTTCTTCTTTTTTCTTCATTCTGGCATGCAGCAAGAGGGGTCACTATGCGCCCAGCACTGCCTCAATGCACTGCTTCAAGGTACCAACTGCTGTGCATTATGGGACATACAAGTACATGTATTTAGTTATCAGTTGTACATTTGTGTGTCCGTGTTGGTATAGCGTTCGTGAATGGGTTCACTATAATATAGCCACACACGTGTGTGTGCGTGTGTGTGTGTGCGTGTGTGTGTGTGTGTGTGTGTGCGTGTGTGTGTGTGTGTGTGTCCCATATGGTGCAGTGGCATGTGCAGTCGATTTCCAATCGAGAGATTGCGGGTTCAATTCCCGACGATTATGGTCGCACACGTCTTTCTTCTCTTTCTCGGACTCTTCCTGACTTTTCTTTCATTCTCCTGGGTGGTTACCAACAGCCAGTGTATGCCGGAGTATGTGGTGTGGTGTGTGTGTGTGTGTAGAAAAAATAAATTAAAAATAAATGGAAAAATGAAAAATAGGGATTCACTGGCCAGAAAAAGTCACTTCAAACAGCTGTGTGGTGGATACCAGGCTAAAAATAGTGGCGGTCAATTCATCAGCCTTGCAAGCTGTTGAATGGTGTAATCCCAGCACAAGTTGCTATGTCTAACATAGCTGTTCGCTATCATCGCTTCCGCGATGGGCATGTCTGAGGTGAGGTGTGTGTGTGGTAAGGTCCTGGAGTACTGACTTGTTGGCACTGGCAGTGAGCACTTTGACCTGTTGCCGAGGTTAATCTGTGTCGTACCCACGCTCGCACGCATGCGCACATACACATACCACCACCACCATCACATGTACTGCTGAAGAAGTCACTTGTACGCGGAGAAAACCAAGAGGCACAAAGAACTCAAAACATTAGGGGCCGTCCGGGGTTACCGATTGTTTTTACAAAACGAAAAGTTTTAGTATTTTTCAGCCCCCACCCACCCACCCACCTTCTCTGCAGGTAAAATGAATTCCAATAAAATATTGATGTCAATTTTCAACACCCAGAAGTAACTGGACATTCCCATCCGCATTCAATAATTATTTTCAAAACGAAACTCCATCAAACCCACCCGTCCCCAAACGAAAACTTTTCGTTTTGAAAATATTACAGTCGACCTACCCTTATAACGATAACCTCTATAATGATATTACCCTTATAACGATATTTTTCTGCCGAACCAAATCACTCCATTGACTTGTGCATACAATGCCTTACCTCTATAACAATATTGCTATAACGATATTACCCCTATAACGATATTAAATGGGCTGACCAATCGACATTTTCCATTTTATAACAATATCTAGCAGGGAATATGTAGAGCCTACTATCCAGGTAGGGCAAGCTTCACTTGATAAGTCGCTGGGACAGGACAAAATGCAATGGGGGCAACAGTGGGCACCTTGCTACATGTATGTACATAATGTGCATGTACGAAAAATGAACAAAATCCATGTATTATGACGTATGTGTATGAAATGAACCAGTTACCCCTATAACAATATTACCCTTATAACAATATTTCTCGGTCTGACGCAAATATCGTTATAAGGGTAGGTCGACTGTATTGGTAACCTTGGACGGCCCCTTAGGAACAGTTGAGCAAAAATAATAGTATAGAGAGTAGGGGTGAAACGGTTCGGGTAAGGAACCGGTTTTGGAACCGCCAGCTGAAAAGAATCGGGTACTAGTACCCGTTCTGTCAAATTTTGAACCGAAACTCGAAAAATCTCGTTCTCGTACAAATACATGTACACGTCAAGTCTACTCAAGATTTAAAATGTCTTACCTTACGATCCCCACTCTTCCAAAGAGTTCTCTGGTCATTATCTTCTTCGCACTTGGACTCTCCGATGTCTCATTCTTGCTCGTAAAAAAATGTTTTTTTCTAAAAAAATAATTGTCGCGAACGCATTTTGTCGGTCTGGAGAAAAAAGTGCATGGAACCGATACCCGAACCGTGGGAAACAATGCTGGCATTCGGGTACCCGAACATGAAAAACATGGAACCGTTTCACCCCTAATAGAAAGGAAAGTACATCTTCACGACACTCTCCAAACGGTCTCTGGGCTACACCAATCACTGAAAGAAGAAAAAAGAGATAATCTTTCGAATTATCGGGCAAGGCCCATCTTCAGGAGGATCTCTTTTCTTTTAGTGATAGGTATAACCCAGAGACCGTTCGGAGAGTGTCGTGAAGATGTATGGGCAGGGAATAATTTACTTTTAATTTCTTGCATAGCAATTTTGTTATTCAAAATCAGACTTGAATAGCAATTCAAAAATGTTGCGTAGCAATTTTCTTCAACACTTGACAACTTTGTCCTTCTGCAGAGCTGATCAGAGTGCAAACTCAGACCACAAATACACTGTAACACCTTAGTTGCAAACCTAGCCTGGTGCCACGATGCATAGCTCGGCACTTTCGAAGTTTCGTGCATCTATTTCATCCCTAAGAGACACACCTGGCATGCACACTGTGCATCATTGGGGTACAGTGAAAAGTCAACATGCATCGCAGTTTTCTGCGACACGTTTCTGAAGTTGCGTCGCACCTCAGAAAGAATTGCGTAGCAAACTGCGGGTTTCGATACAGGTTAAAGTATTTCCTGATGGGTATAGTGGATGGCTACAGTGGAGTCTTCGCATATTGTCCATCTAAATTGTCATAGTCGAAGTACAGTGCTGTTTTACTGAGGCGTTCGGTTTTGCATGATTCTTGTTCGCATAGCTCCCCCTTTTATTGATCTTCGCATCTTTGAGCCACACACGTTGTGTGGAATGTTGCTTTGCGTCCTTGAATCGTGGTTTGACCATATTGTCCAATGGTCTTGCCAGTATCGTCATCGACGTGCATGAACATCCGCCAACGCCCTTCACAGCTGAGACTTTCAGCTCGTGCTTGTCTTGGTTGCGCTCACCTTCCCCTCTTATATTATCATATAACTTAGAACCTTCCAAGTTGGAAGGCTGTTGGAGTGCGCATCCAAGATGTGCTAGAGCTGTTAGCCAGTTAGTTGTAGAACGTCAGTACTGTCGGTCAGTGTCGTGCAATGTTATCGCATGAGCTGATTGTTTAGTAACTGGTGGTGTTAGTGGACATTATGGCGTATTAAAGGGGGACCAGCTACACCCATGATGGGTGTGGTAAATACCAGATGCTGTAGGTGCACGATAGTTCAATGTTAGTAGTGTATGTGTTGTGTGTATGTGTGTGTGTGTGTGTGTGTGTGTGTGTGTGTGTGTCTGTGTGTGTGTGTGTCTGTGTGTGTGTGTGTGTGTGTGTGTGTGTGTGTGTGTGTGTGTGTGTGTGTGTGTGTGTGTGTGTGTGGCATGTCTTGGTTCTGTAGGTGCCTACTTCAATGCCGTCGACCTGGCCAATATTGGACAGCAGCTGGATGAAGCAGAACGATCTCGTATGGCAGAGGGTGGCGTCCATTCTGCTGAGTACAACCAGTTTGTGGCTGTAAGAAGACTGTCTACTCTCCATCGCCCCTTGCTAGTTCTGATATAGAATACACAAACACACCCACCCATACGAGTACACGCATACACACTCTCTCTCCTTCTCTACCTACCTGCCTGCCTGCCTGCCTGCCTGCCTGCCTGCCTGCCTGCCTGCCTGCCTGCCTGCCTGCCTGCCTGCCTGCCTGCCTGCCTGCCTGCCTGCCTGCCTGCCTGCCCACCCACCCACCCACCCACCCACCTACCTACCGACCTACCTACTAGTATATACCCTACAATTCTCACACAGCAATAACGCAACCAAGTCCTAACGGTATCGGAGTTTCGTTGTTGTGAAGCTCTCTTCAGACAGCGTTACTTGACCCTGTATTTGGTTGCCACATACTTTCCGTTGTCATGAGTATTGTGAGGTAGATTTAGTTCCCCGGTGACTGTGTGTCATGGAGATTGCGGTTTGCATGCCCTTGTTGCAAGTTGGAACTGATGTGGATGTGCACTGCGGTTTGTGTCAAGCTGCCGCATTGTCACAGCCTGCTTGATGGCTTGCATTCCCACTGGTTGACGGTGCTAAGGGTGACAAGCATGCAATGAGTCGAGTCAAGGAATACGGACTACATCTATGTCACAGCTAGTGGTCTGCAGGGGGTATTGTCACAGCTAGTGGTCTGCAGGGGGTATTACGTACAGCTAGTGGTCTGCAGAGGGTATTACGCGCGGGTGCCAGATAGGCTGTAGACTAGTATACTGTAAATATACAAAATCTCGGCGCTGCAAAATTTCGGCACTTCACGATTTTTGACATTTCGGCGTGGGGTAGAGGGCATGGTATAGTGCGACAGATGCTGTGAAAAATTTCATCGGCGTTTTAATTCAGGCGTTTTGGGTCGGTGCCGAATATACGGTAGCCGAAATTAAATAGCTGCCGAAAATTTGTATATTTACAGTAGCACAGTACACTGTATCTCTGTTTTCCGGCCACAAGCGCAAGGCAATCTATTGTGTTTATGACACACACAAGCGCAAGGCAATCTATTGTGTGTTGTGTTTATGGCTTATCCTGTGTACTGGTAGTGACTAATGTGATTTTGTCTATGCTTCCTGTGTGTGTGTGTGTGTGTGTGTGTGTGTGTGTGTGTGTGTGTGTGTGTGTGTGTGTGTGTGTGTGTGTGTGTGTGTGTGTTCATGCAGCGTGGCAGCAGCAATGTCGACGATAGTGGATTCTTCTCTGTGCAGGTAGGGGAGCCGGGAACGGGTTGTGTGGCTACTAGTGCTAACAAGCAGACATTTCACTGGTGCATCTGTTTGAAGTGGAGCTATCTTTGCCACACATCCAACAGAGGGGAGTGCAAGTGGTGAAGTGAAGTGCTCCAGTATATCAGCTGACGGTCTTGGCAGCTCTATCCCTCCGGTGCTGTGACAAAACAGGTTCACCTACCTCTATAGAAACTATGCGAATGACTTCATGGGGCGAGTCAGCGGATACAGCACGAATCAGCGGATGCAGCGCGAGTCAGCAGATGCAGCGCGAGTCAGCAGATACAGCGCGAGTCAGCAGAATCGCTTATGGGTGCTGTGTATACAGCGGAACCGCATATGGGCGTTATGTATGCAGCGCGAGTCACTGATGCAAGTGCAGCGCTGTGGGCCGACTTCGCCGAATCATCTCAACTGATGATGTTATCTCATAACCTCTGTTGAAAAGTCTGGCAACTACTTGGCTGCCGCGTTGATATGACCTTGCTGGGGAAGCAGTGATGAATGATGAGTACGTACTATGCCATAGAATGTGGACACAGCTAACATCTCTCTCCCCTCTCCTACCCCCTCTCGTCTCTCCCCTCTCCTACCCCCTCTTGTCTCTCCCCTCTCCTACCCCCTCTCGTCTCTCCCCTCTCCTACCCCCTCTCGTCTCTCCCCTCTCCTACCCCCTCTCGTCTCTCCCCTCTCCTACCCCCTCTCGTCTCTCCCCGCTCCTACCCCCTCTCGTCTTTCCCCTGATTTCTCTCTACCCCCTCTTGTCTCTCCTCTGATTTCTCAGTCTAGATATGATACACTACTTCATTCCGTCCCCTCCACCTATTTTTTGAACGATGCTTATTCATCTGTTTGAAATGGCTTACATCTTGTGTTTGTCATTGTGCCTGCAGGTAATTGAGAATGCCGTGAGTGCATTCAACCTTCGTCTTGTTCGATTCGACAGTCCACAAGCTACAGCAGCGCGGACGTCACCAGCGTAAGTTGTGTGATACGCGTTCTTGTAAGCAAACACTATTTGTAGACAGCTGCATCGTTTAATGCATGTCCTTTGAAAAGATTCTTGAACTCCAACACTGCTACATCACCTAGTCTTACAATCATACCACATGGTGTCTTGCTGAAGGCGTTTTGATTTACTTGCTGTAAAATTTCGGGCATGTGGTATGGATACTGAGACTGTGCAATGTCCTGTTTCGCTGAGTTTACAATTTTGTTTGGCTTTTTGGGGGTGGGGTGGGGCATTACATGATCAATCCTATTGTCAAGAAGAGGTTGGTGCGACTTCGGCGATACTTGGGGAATTGTGTGTTGCTCTCTACGTGGCAGCTTGCGCTATTCCTGCTGACTTGAATTCTCACTTGACTGACTCACGACTGCCATCCGGGGCACACGAGAAGTCCATCGAATTGGAGCACGCACAATCCTATTGTCCCTGTGGAAAATCGTGATACCACAGTCATACAAAAATCCACGATTTTAACATGCTTTGTAAAACGCCATGTTTTTTTTACATGATTCACGACTGCCGTCCAGAGCACACGAGTAGTTCGTCGATCCTTCGATTCGGCAAACCTGCAAGAAAGCACCACTCCCTGCTCGATACACAGTGTTCGGGGGAATTCACCCCTCATCAGCTGAGCTTAAGTAGGCTGAGAAATATTGTGCCTGAAGAGCACCACGTGCAAACTTCTGTTAACACCAGGTAGTAGTGTGAGTTAGTGTTGCTCAGCTCAGGGATGGGAAGAGCAAGTGTTAAGTACCCATGGTGATTCACAACGTTGTCGCTGTTGTCACCTCCAAACACTGGCCACAGTAGCACGAATCAGTAGTAGCGACCCCTCGTACTGTTGTTCCCAGTGTGGGCTTGTGACTAACTGGTTTGGAGGTGACACTGGTGTTCCCAGTGTGGGCTTGTGACTAACTGGTTGGGAGGTGACGTCGCGTCGCGAATGACCAAGGGTCCTCAACGCTTGTTCTACGCATCTACAAGCGCCACTGACTCACGCTGCTATCTCGTGCTCACAAGATGGTTGTGGCGTTGGACATGGGGTTTCTTCATAAGGTTTTAACTTTACCCTTGGTGATGTTTTGGCCTGGAGAGCAGCCCAGTCATTCCAGCCAATGAATACACACACACACACACACACACACACACACACACACACACACAGACACACACACACACACACACACACACACACACACACACACACACACACACACTGCTTTTCTAGGAACATGTGGACACATATACATGTACAACAGTGCGGCAACTGTCACTACCCTCCAAGTCAGTGAAAGAGGTGTGAAGGGCTTTGTGAGAAAGCATCAAGTCCACACCGCAAAGAATTCATTTGCAATTGAAGTGAAGGAAAATCCAATCAACAGCGGGTACCAGTGACTGGGGATGCACCAGGACTTACTTTTTACTTTTTTACTTATTAATTTTTAGGATGTCCATTACGGTCCGGTACTGCTGATCTCTTTGAGCCAGTTCTCTGGATTGAGGTCTACAGCTCTTTGGGTGTTCCGTTGATGCTAGTGCTTGCTTGTATGTAATTGGTACAATAGTGATGTGTGTGCGTGTGTGTGCGTGGGTGGTGTGTGTTTATGTGTGTGTGTGTGTGCGTGCGTGCGTGCGTGCGTGTGTGTGGTCTGTGTGCGTGCGCGATACCTCTTTCAGGGCCGGTCAGGCGTTCATTTGCAACTTGATGGAACATTGGCTGACCATCCGAAAGCTGGGTAACCAGGTGAGTGCCATGTTGTTTGACTGTGAGTGGCTGTGAGTGACTGTGAGTGGCTGTGATCGTGAGTGGTAAGGATATGCATTCCACACACCTTTTGATGCTTATGGTGTTGCTGTGCACGTGCTAACGAAATCCTATGTTTCACTTCAATTCTCTGGTGCCTGTACCTTATATCACCTGTACCTTATATCACCTGTACCTTATATCGTTATCACCTGTACCTTATATCACCTGTACATGCAGTGTGTGTATATGACTGTGGTGATGGGGGGGGGGGGATAGGCTGTGTTTGCACGCTAACTCTGTGTAGCTTGGTGCAGGTGTGAGGTGAGGTGATAAATATGAGGTGCGTAGATGTGAGGTGAGACGAACGCCTGGTCGCGCGCTTGTGCACTGGCGGTATTCACACACCGCCCTCTTATAAACTGGTGTGTGTGTGTGTGCACATCTCATTACTAAACCTCTCGTTCTCCCTGCTGAGGCTGAATAGTTTCTCTGCATGCTGCATGCCAAAGTGCATGGAGTTGTGCACTATATGTCCTATGGTGAAAATGGCTGTTTGGAGGTTGTTATTCAGAAGTGTCTGGCAGAGGCTACCGGCACCCTATTAGAATAGGTTTGGACTTCTGTTTGTGCTGCTGCTGCTACATGTGCTGTATATGTATGTTCTATGGCATGCTGTGTAGTGGTTCAATCTCAACTCATTCCTCACTGGTCCGTTGTTGCTGACTGATACCTATCTGTCTATGTACCTGGAGCAGCTGAGAGTCGAAGGTAAGTTGGTGGTGTATGCAAGCCTTGCTTGATAGTTTAACATGTTTTACGATGACAGCATGTTACAAGGCTGTTTTTCAAACAGTGTGTCCTCCTTGTGTGTTCTCTGCTGTTCCATTGACCTGGTTACACCTGGTTACGCTGATCATGTGCTCTGCTACTTGTGTTGCTGGCAAGTGCCTGTCATGATTATGCTGTTGCTTGTGATAGTTGTACTCCGGCTGCTTTGCGATTCGTCACGTTTTTGTTTTTGTTGTTGTTGGTGGTGGTGCTGCTGCTGCTGCTGCTGCTGCTGCTACTGTGCCCCCAGGCTACTCTATATTTGTAGTGGAAGGAGATCTGCCATCGTGTGCTGCTAACGACATTCTGCTTCAGCGGCCAGCTGTGCAACATGCTCCTCCAGCACACATCAATGCATCGTCAGCCACTGACGATCAGAAGTCTGGCCGCCAGCAGCGTGGAGGGGCACATCAGCTGGAGAAAGATGACCTGCAGCGCGCACTGCAGTTGAGTCTACAGCAGGCAGCAGATCCGAGCGCCGCCGGAGGCTTCCAAGCATTGCCACAGCGTGATCGTCAACCTGCAGGAGACAGTAGTGATGAAGAATCCGAGCTGCTGCGCCGTACGTTGGCTGAAAGCCAGCGGGCGGTGGGATTCTCTGCTGGCGACGGCGGCGGTGCAAGTGCGGAAGATCTAATGGTCAAGCGTGCAATCGAGGCCAGCCTAGCTTCGACTAGTGCAAGTACAGTTGAGACTGGCGTGCCAGCACAGCAGCGTACACAACCAGCTGCCCCTGCCGCTGCAGCTCCCTCATCTGATGAGGTTCGCCGACGGAGGCTGGCGTTCTTTGACCGGTAAGTGTGACGTGTCTTTGCTCGTATGGTGCGCATACATGTATGTCTTTGTGAAGGTATTTTCTCCCTACTTTCTCCCGACTGCTGCACCATTTTTTTTCATTGCTCTCCGTTCATCTGCTCACCCTGCTAAGCACTGTGCAGTGTGCAGGAATGGATCAGCCCATCTGAATCAGCCCATTTGTTTTTCTTCACACATCATTCAAGTACTCAAAAAAAATTTTTTTTTAATTCGACGGGTGCGCGTACCGGGCAGGTCAAGAACAAGGACATGTGACTGCACCATATTGGCCAACTATTTCTTATTGTCCTGCTGGTCTGCCTCTGCTTGTTTTTCATGCTGAACGCTAACCCACCACAGGCAATCTGCTGGCGGCAGTGGACAAGCCGGCAATGGTGGAGTATCCAGTAACCATGGTAACACACAGACACAATCAGCGGCGCCGACTGCTGCTGCAGCAGCCCCCACCCCCGCCGCCACCGATGGAGAGCGTGCAACACCACCGCTCAACGTGGATGCCATGACCGAAGATGAAGCCCTCAGCTATGCACTAGCATTGTCTGCGCAAGCGCAGTCGTGAACAAATGCAAACGAGCTTGATTACATTGTAGCTGTGTGCTGATACTGTGATTGCACAGTCCACACACAGACTAGCCCTGTGTGTGCTGATACTGTGATTGCATAGTCCACACGCAGACTAGCCCTGTGTGTGCTGATAGTGATGATGTGCAGGTAGCCCTACCCCAGGACATACTTCAAACAGGCATGGTGCAGGCGCTATGCTGTCCTGCTACTTCGAAGTACTGTATATCACCTTATTTTCGGTGTTGTAAAATTTCGGTAAAAGCCAACCCCTGACCTTTCGGTGTAAGGATAAATTCGGTATGCATGGCACCAAAAAAAACAACGCTCTTGCACTAATATCTCCGCCAAGGCCAAAAGGCTCCACATATGCATACATGTTATGTATGTACATACAATGTACTACCGGTATACCAGTATACAAGTAAGTTACAACTACACATGTAGTTGATTTTTTTAATTTGACAGTGATTTTCATGATTTTTACATATTTTGGTATTTCGGAAAATTTAGGTGTAATGTTTAAATTAGGTGATCCAGGACCAGTACCGAAGTTACCGAAATTTAAATTACACCGAAATAAAGGTGTTATACAGTAATAAGTAGCATGACCCCCCCCCCCCACACACACACAGACACACACACTTCGGTTATTGTTTGTCTTATCGTTCCACGGTGCCACGGCCGTGTTGTATGGTCACGTGCATGCTCCTAGTCGTGGGCTGAGCTTTCACACCATAAATTATCAACATCAGGTCGCCTTCAGATTTTATCAATTAAATTAAATTACTCCAACAAATCCTGAAATTATTGAATGACGCTACATTCCTTGCGATCCACATACATACATCCACATACATTTGTTTTACTTGATTGGTTTTATTTTCAATCCACATGTAAAGATAGTCATCAGCAGCTGAGATAATATTGTTTCAATTTGTTTGCATAACAAACATTGTACATGTACTGGAGTGGTCCAGGGTGAGCTTTCATTGCAGGTGGACAGATAAGAGGGTTTCAGCCAGTTGCCAGTCGGCATGCGTGAAAAAATGAAAAAAGAAGCCTTGTTTCCTAACTGCTGACAACAATATGCACGACGGGCCCACTGTGCATACCAGCAGTGAGCCAGGGTGGGGAGAGCGACCCGTCACTGCACTTCTGGTCGCTGCGTTGCTCTGACCTCTCCACTACCAGCCATAGTACAAATCCAAATACAACTAATAATACAAATCCACTGCAGTATACCAGGTATACACACACCACCATGCCTGCTACACACACCACATACTTAGGTGGTAAGTATGTGGTGTGTGTGCTGTGCATGCGGAGGTGGTGTGTGTAGCAGGCATGCGGTCCACAATGCTGCACACACGCACCACCATGCCTGCTGCACGCACACCACCATGCCTGCTGCACACACACACACACACACCACCATGCCTGCTGCACACACACACACACCACCCTGCCTGCTGCACACACACACACACCACCATGCCTGCTGCACACACACACACACCACCATGCCTGCTGCACACACACCACCATGCCTGCAGCACACACACCACCATGCCTGCAGCACACACACCACCACCATGCCTGCTGCACACACCACCACCATGCCTGCAGCACACAAACCACCATGCCTGCTGCACACACCACCACCATGCCTGCTGCACACACCACCACCACCAATGCACCATGCCTGCTGCACCCACACCACCATGCCTGCTGCACACACACCACCATGCCTGCTGCACACACACCACCATGCCTGCTGCACACACACCACCATGCCTGCTGCACACACCACAATGCCTGCTGCACACACACACCACAATGCATGCAGCACACACACCACCATGCCTGCAGCACACACACCACCATGTCTGCTGCACGCACACCACCATGCCTGCTGCACACACACCACCATGCCTGCTGCACACACACCACCATGCCTGCTGCACACACCACAATGCCTGCTGCACACACACCACAATGCATGCAGCACACACACCACCATGTCTGCTGCACACACACCATGCCTTCAGCACACACCACCACCATGCCTGCACTAGCATACACACCATACGCTGGTAGCTGTGGAACAGATGCAATGAAAGCTGCACGTCTACATCAAGCTGCATTGCATTGCACAAGGTCTTCCAGGGTGTCTTTCCAGCGAACCGAATGGTGACCAGTTGAGTGTGCTCTGCTTGCCAATTGCGATTGATCGTCCCTGGAAGCTGTCGGTAAAAGCACGAAAGGATGGCAACTAGTCACTGGATACTTCCTCCATCGTGCAGTGATGTCACGGGGCAGCAGTACACCACTTCAGGAAATGGTCCAGTATCTTATCTTTCAACTTTTGTCCAACAAACAGTCCCCCACTGCAGCTAGACAAACCATGGTAGTGTGCCGTGTCTCCGGCAGGGTGCAGCATCACGTTAACAAGAACGCGAGTCTCCGTGCTATCAATACGTTTTCAAGACGGACTCCGACACAGTGCCTTGAGACCGCTGGAACGCTTTCCCCGCGGCGTATGCAGCATGCTCGTTGAAGAGAAACGCGTGAAGTGAGCGCAGGTCAGTGCACGTCTTCATTGCGCCCGCCTGCAGCTTCTGCAGGCTCTGTGCCTCGCGGGTACGCCGCGACTCAAGAGTATCTAGTGCCATGGTGTCAGAGTCCGGAACGTCTGAAACAAAGCCAATAATAGGAACACACACACACACACACACACCGACACACACACACACACAAACGCACACGTACACACACACACACACACGCACGCACACACACACATTTATATGCCTGCACATGTGCAAAATTCTCCGGAAACAAAAAACTCTACAAGTATGACTTTAACGACCTGTCAGTTCTGGTAAATTGAGCTGTGAGGAATAGAGCAATTGTGACTGCAAGCGAGACTCTAATGGTGTCCATTTCTTCTGAAAGTGTACATACTTCAAAGAGTAGTATACCCGCTCATCATCTTTTGTTCCACCGAACCAGAGCAAGGTAACTCCTTAGAATGTGAATAAAAAAAGGCACAGAGTTTTTTTATTTATTTGCAAAGCAGTAATGCTACGTGCATGGAGCACACAGGGCAAAGTATGTGCATGGAGCACATAGGGCAAAGTATGTACACGGAGCACATAGGGCAAAGTATGTGCATGGAGCACACAGGGCAAAGTATGTGCATGAAGCACACAGGGCAAAGTATGTGCATGAAGCACACAGGGCAAAGTATGTGCATGGAGCACACAGGGCAAAGTATGTACACGGAGCACACAGGGTAAAGTATGTGCATGGAGCACACAGGGCAAAGTATGTGCATGGAGCACACAGGGCAAAGTATGTACACGGAGCACACGCACAGCAGCACTAAGTGAACAAGTAGCAATGCTAGAGATTTGCCGAGCACTAGAATATGCATCAGTACCAGGTACAGCATGACCATGAAGGAGGCAACAGTATCACACACGCTCACCTTCAAACATCAGGTTATAGCCTGTTTCGAGTGGTGACGACGACTGGACTTGAGCAGTGACTGGTAAAGAGAATACCCACTCAAATATCGCCCTGGTGCGTGGCATGTGGAATTCAGACGTGATCACCTAGAGCAGAGAAAGAGAACAGGCACACTGCATTAGCGTGGAAACTACCAGATTTCCATTCTGCACTACATGTGTATACCGGTAACACCAGAAACGCAATACCACTCGTACAGCACAGCACAACACAGCAAACCAAGAAACGCAATACCACTCGTACAGCACAGCACAACACAGCAAACCAAGAAACGACCTCTCAATACAATCAAATACGTACTACTGTCTACATGTGCAGCCCAAACGTAGACTTTTAAAAACAAAGCGGCGTGCACCAAGCAAGAGTAGCTGGACCAGCACCAATGTGAACCCACACACACAGTTCACCAATGTAAACCCATACACACAGTTCACCAATGTGAACCCACACACACAGTTCACCAATGTGAACCCACACACACAGTTCACCAATGTAAACACACACACAGTTCACCAATGTAAACCCACACACACAGTTCACCAATGTAAACACACACACAGTTCACCAATGTAAACACACACACACAGTTCACCAATGTAAACACACACACACAGTTCACCAATGTAAACCCATACACACAGTTCACCAATGTGAACCCACACACACAGTTCACCAATGTGAACCCACACACACAGTTCACCAATGTAAACACACACACAGTTCACCAATGTAAACCCACACACACAGTTCACCAATGTAAACACACACACAGTTCACCAATGTAAACACACACACACAGTTCACCAATGTAAACACACACACACAGTTCACCAATGTAAACCCACACACACAGTTCACCAATGTAAACCCACACACACAGTTCACCAATGTAAACCCACACACACAGTTCACCAATGTAAACACACACACACAGTTCACCAATGTAAACACACACACAGTTCACCAATGTAAACACACACACAGTTCACCAATGTAAACACACACACAGTTCACCAATGTAAACACACACACAGTTCACCAATGTAAACACACACACACAGTTCACCAATGTAAACACACACACACACAGTTCACCAATGTAAACACACACACACAGTTCACCAATGTAAACACACTTTTTTTTTTTTTTTTTTTTTTTTTTTTTCCAATGTAAACACACACACAGTTCACCAATGTAAACACACACACACAGTTCACCAATGTAAACACACACACACAGTTCACCAATGTAAACACACACACACAGTTCACCAATGTAAACACACACACACAGTTCACCAATGTAAACACACACACACAGTTCACCAATGTAAACACACACACACAGTTCACCAATGTAAACACACACACACAGTTCACCAATGTAAACACACACACACAGTTCACCAATGTAAACACACACACAGTTCACCAATGTAAACACACACACAGTTCACCAATGTAAACACACACACAGTTCACCAATGTAAACACACACACACAGTTCACCAATGTAAACACACACACACAGTTCACCAATGTAAACACACACACACAGTTCACCAATGTAAACCCACACACACAGTTCACCAATGTAAACACACACACACAGTTCACCAATGTAAACCCACACACACAGTTCACCAATGTAAACCCACACACACAGTTCACCAATGTAAACCCACACACACAGTTCACCAATGTAAACACACACACACAGTTCACCAATGTAAACACACACACACAGTTCACCAATGTAAACACACACACAGTTCACCAATGTAAACACACACACAGTTCACCAATGTAAACACACACACACAGTTCATCAATGTACACCCACGTCCAGTTCACCAATGTACACCCACGTACAGTTCACCAATGTACACCCACATACAGATCATCAATGTACACCCACATACAGTTCATCAATGTACACCCACATACAGTTCATCAGCCAGACCAGAACAGCCTCAAGTCATCCAACCATGCACTACAGTGGTTTCACATCCTTGTCATGAGACTACTCAAACTGAATTCGTGCAGAAAGTGGTATATGGCATGTGGACTGGGAACCAACATGGCCGACATCATGAGACCCAATATAGAGAGATGCAGGGGATGGGTGGAGTAGTGTTGGAACAAACATGGCTGCCCTGTGTGGTCATGTGATAGGCGTGCAACAGTTCTCTACGTACACGCCAGTCTATCCAGCCCTCTATGTACACGCCAGTCTATCCAGCCCTCTATGTACACGCCAGTCTATCCAGCCCTCTATGTACTGTAAATATACAAAATGTCGGCGCTGCAAAATTTCGGCACTTCACGATTTTTGACATTTCGGCGGCGATTTATTTTCGGCGTGGGATAGAGGGCATGGTATTGCGACAAATGCTGTGAAAAATTTCATCGGCGTTTTAATTTAGGCGTTTTGGGTCGGTGCCGAATATAGCCGAAATTAAAGGGGAAGTCCGGTGAAAAATTTAAATTTCAGGGTCGGTAGAGTTTCGGCCGCTGAGTCGAATGGTGTTGGTCCCACGTGTCTCGGACAAAGCGTTCTCGAGATATTTCCGTTTGAAAAACTGAGTTTCGGGGGCTGCGCCATGACGTCATGCGGCCGCGCCACACCCTCTGCAACGTCATAGCGTGCAGCTAGGTCAAAAGGAGTGCGTGAAAGCAATAGTGTCAGTGCTATTTCAAATGATTTGGCGACTGATATTAGGTGGTGCAAGCGACCCCGAAGACCTGTAACTCCTTGTGAGAGTGAGGATGCAGCCATGGCTGACCTTCATGAGTTCGGTCTGGGGCTGAGAACCTCGGTATTCAGCTGAAGAAATGGCCGCGCGGGCCGGTCAAGAGTGAGCGCTACTGAGTTTCCGACTGATGAAGAAGCAGCAGCTATTGCAGACGAAGCTGATATAATTATCAGATCGCTGGAGAGCAGGGTCGCCAAAATGGAGAAGAGTGATGCGAGTGCTCTAAATGTTGTTCCATACCGATCGATTAGATTCGCTTAGAGTCCAGTGGCCTGCCACATGGTGATGTTTTGGTGCGAACTTGGAATATTTCGGACTACTCATTTGGAGAACAGTGCAGGCTCTTTGAACCACGGGCACGACTCTTCGCTCGCAACGCTATGGAATCTGAAAGTTCTAGGTCCGAGAGCTGTTCGCTGTTTTGTCACTTGTCGCGGTTGTGCACTCATCGCTGTAGCATAAAATAATGAGGCGCCGCGGGTGCGGAAAACTAAAATTTTCTTTCTCAAAGCACAACCACCGGCACCGGCAAGGAGAAACGCACGTTCTCTGACTACATAGTCGACTGTACAATACGACTGATACGAGTGTAGTACATGACAAGTCCGTGTGTTGACTAGTTTTCTGAGTCTTGTGTCAGTTCTGAGTTGTGACATGAGTTTGTTGACTGCATGCACTACAGCTAGATAACACACTGCACGCACTGCATGCACGCAGCGCAGAGCGCATAGACCATGTAGACGGGCTAACGGAAAAGTCCAACTCGGAAACGGCTAAAATACGGTATAACCTCCAGGTTTACCGAGCTGAAAATCACAGGGTACGTAGTGTTTGTAACACTGAATCGAATGGTCTTGGTCCGAAGAAGCTGCGATAAACGGTTCCCCAATCGAACGCGCTCCGAATATGGCCATTTTTGTACACAACTAGATGGTGTGGCTACCTGGCTGCACGCTGTGACGTCATCACCTGGATCTGGGTGATGCGCGCTCAAATTCGCACATGTTCGATTGGGCGTATCTGACGAACCATAAGCCGCAGCCTCCTCGGACAAAGACCATTCGACTCAGCGCCCCGAACTCTACGGACTGTGAAATTTAAATTTTTCACCGGACTTCCCCTTTAAATAGCTGCCGAAAATTTGTATATTTACAGTATACGCCAGTCTATCCAGCCATTCCAATCTTCAACAAGAGCTACACAGCCAGTGATATGGGACTCACCAGCAGAGTTCTCAGGCCGAGGACGTCTGTGTGCTGCGTGCGTGCAAAGTACGCATTGCCAATCGTGTCATATGACGACCACTCCATGAGAACGCACGATGACGGTATTCCTGGGAGAAAACGAATCAAGTACACAGAAAGTTAGGTGAGGGACTGTCTCGCAAAAAATAAAAAATAAACCCAGCAAGTGGCCTGAAGGGAATGTGTGGTAAATATTCGAGACCGATTTTTCCTATCGAAAAACATCTGGAACTCTACATAACAGGTGTCAAAATACTGCCCAGATAAATTTATTCACCGAAAAACTTATAACAAATGCGGCGATGCATGCGTGAACCACTTTGCATCCAAAGAACTGCACAGACACCCACAGTCAACTGGATACATGGGTACTCATCACTCGGAGTGAGGGTAACATGGATGCAGCTAGCGAGGCTCGCCCCTTTGTCCGACATGGGTTGTGAGACTTACCATCTCACCGTCGCCGCTAGGCACTGCATCTGCCACCCTGGTATAATCAGGGAGGGTGGTGGCCTGACACAAACGAAACTTCCTAAGCTGCTTGTGTTTCTCAACACAATTGTATGGCCGGAGGTAACGAGGACGTGAAAACTTTAAAACGTTTGCAGGTTATTGTCACCAAACAAACACAACATATAGGTATCGATGCCACTGGGGAAAGAAAGCATCAAGCCTGTGGCAGCCATACATGCACAAATGCACATATTTATATTAATTATATACCCACACATAAACACACACGCACGCATGCACGCACACACACACACACACACACACACAGACACACACACACAGATAACACCCCTCAGTACACAGAGGAAGAGCACAGCACCAACCTGCCTTGATCAGGAAATCTGCACTGGCACAGGATTCAAACACAGGAAAGCCATTGCAGTCTCTAGGTGGCGGCTTGTGGCTTGTGCCAGCGCTGAGGGTAATGATCTTCGGCAGACAGGTGTCTGAGCAACCTGAACATCAATAATACATGCAAACAGACAGGTATACAGGCACATGCATGCGCATAAACTACTGTTCTCATGCAACACAAATATGGACACAAACACACAGATACAGACAGCTGCTGAAGTACTTCATAAACTACTCCAGTTCCCAAGACGAACCAACCAGGCGCATCCAGTACATCAATTGACTTCGACTAAACTGATCCAGCAGGGTGCTATGGATCAGTATTTGTAGGTGAAACACCAGTACCTTCCATAGCGCTACCACAGTACCAGCGCAATGAAATCCTACTCGAGGTGGTTTCTGTTTTCTACACCCCACACCCCAACAGCGTATGGCGTGACACTCACCAGCCAAGCACATACATGCATACATGCATACATACATGCATACATGCATACATGCAGCCTCCAAAGCAGAAACTAATAAAGTACATTAACAGTACTAGAACAAGTCTAAAAGCTGATAAAACCGCGCAGCAGCAGTTCTGAGTACACACACACACACACACACACACACACACACACACACACACACACATCACTGGTGACACGTGTGGCACATGCCTATCTTACATGACTGACTGGACTGGTTCTTGCCGCTACCATGGCTATTGTGCGTCAAAGCCAGTGTTATCATTGTCAGTGTGCGTGGCAACTAGTGGCAACCTCACACAATTGCTGCTAGGGCTGCACTGGCATCCAGGAATAGCTCGTGCATGGATGAAGTCAAGCCCAGTCCAGCGGGGTGTGAAGTTCTCGCTTGGCCTCTGTACTGCATTGTACTGCATTGTACTGCATTGTACTGCATTGTCGCCAATAGACCTGGCTACATGTACTGTAGTACTGTACTACACATCAGCACCGAAAACTGTCTGCATCAAAAATGTCTAATAGTAATAGTCCCATGACATCGTATGGTGAATGCATTGCACACACACACGCACGCACACACACGCACGCACACACGCACGCACACACACACACACACACACACACACACACACACACACACACACACACACACACAGGACCAGAGAAGTGTGAGTGTCTTGTTTTGACTGCAGGAAACGGTACTTCGATATCGTGGCTCAACGTAGTGCTTGCACAGTTAAGCAGTTTATTGCTTCAAACACATCTTCATTTTTACTCCCAAGAATAACTCTGTAAAATTTGTTGATGTGCACACTGTACCTGAAGAGGCATTGCTGTCGCATGTACGCTGTGCCAGCCGCTCCGTGCACTCTTTCCAGCGCATGATGGCATGATCGAGACGACGTTCAACTGGACATGACAAACGTATGAATACACGAAACAAGTGTCACTGTCATCCCACCCTAGGCGGAAAACAGCTATCAATCGACTTCTGAAAGCTCCTAAATGCATGTATACTCAGTCAAAACAAACTTCCTCGTGTTTATTCAAAAAGTAAAAGTTTAACATCCACACCGAGACGGGGGGAGAGAGAGAGGAGGAGGACGAACCCCAGAAACTAGAAACTACCGACCGATATCACTACTGCCCATAATGTCTAAGTGTATGGAGTCCATCGTGAACCGCAGCCTGTCCAACTTCCTGAAGAAGAATGACATCCTTTCTCACAGGCAGTTTGGCTTTCGCACTGGACTGGGAACCTCTGATCTGCTGATTGCTCTTCAGCATGAGTGGAGCCTTGCAGCTGCCAGTGGAGGCCTCGTCAGGGTACTCGCAGTAGATATTGCCGGGGCCTTCGACAAGGTCTCGCACAACGGCGTCCTCCACAAGGCTGAACGGTGCGGCATAAGTGGCCTCCTCCTTGCCTGGCTCCGGAGTTACCTGACAGACCGCCACATCCGTGTCGTCATAGGTGGCCAGTCTTCACCGACCCACCGAATCCAATCTGGCGTGCCACAGGGCAGCATCCTCGGCCCCACCCTCTTCCTTCTGTACGTCAACGACGCAGAAGACCACCTGCCTGATGGGGCGAAGCTGGCTGTATACGCCGACGACACAACTCTCTACAAGTGCATCACCACCCGACTCAGACTGCCAGAAGAGACAGCAATCCTCCAGCAGGCAGTAGACTCACTGGCAGCATGGGGAAGCAGGTGGAGGACCAAGTTCGAGCCCACAAAGTCGCAGGCATTGACCATCAGCCACCACCGCTCGCCAACCCCCCGAACGCAATACGCTTCCAAGGAGCAGTCGTGCCAGAAGTAGAGGAGCTCAAGCTTCTTGGCGTCACCTTCGACAGGCAGCTGGCATTCCGCAGCCATATCCGACAGCTTGCAGTACGCGGAGCCCAGCGGCTCGGCTTCCTCCGTAAGGCATCGGCTGTGCTAGACCCAAAGCACCGGGCAATCGTGTACCGTGGCTTTGTCCGCCCTGTGCTAGAGTATGGCATGCTGGTGTGGATGAGCGCAGCCCCCACCACCTTGGCCCGCCTCACTGCCATCCAGCGCCGTGCCCTGCACATAATTGGAGATGGATCATACCTCCCGAGCCTCGACATTCGCCGTACCGTAGCAGGGCTCTGCTTTCTGTACAAGCTGCACTTTGTGGAGGGTCCGGAAATGGTGAAAGCCATTCTGCCACCATCAGCAGCCGCACCGAAACACCGCATGCCTACTCGAGCGACAACCAGATCTGCAACACATCATCCATCGCAACTCACCAGTATCCTTCCCCCTCAGGCACGAAACAACACGCTCCGCTCATTTCCCCACTCCCTCATCGCAACGTGGAATCAGCTCCCACCTACCCTTCTGCAGTCTCCCCCTTCTCGCAGAGGCATGCACACGTTCAAGAAAAACGTCAACGACCACTTGCGGCGCAGCAAGTGGGAGTGGGCCACAGACAGGCTATGATCTCTGCCAACACACCAGCCTAATTATACTGACCGCACTCCAGCTCCCTTCTACCCCTCTTTGATCCCCTTCGCTCAGCCTTAAAATCCGACTATCAGTTCACTCCATCTTCCTACGGTGCACTGCTTTTACTATTGTTTTGTCCCATCCCAATCTCAAATTCTCCCCATTATCGTTTGCAAAGCCGGTGCTCCCCTCTTGGATGGACATGTTTCTTTTCTCCTATGTATCGGCGCACAGGAGTAACAATGATTCCGAGACCTTTGGTCGGAGGAGTTACTTTTGCCCCGCCCCCACTTCCATCCAATATGCCACCGCCCCCGCTGTGCAGCATCTGATGGTACTGTGGTATTCAGTAAAAAAAAAAAAAAAAAAAAAAAAAGGAGGAGGAGGAGGAGGAGGAGGAGGAAGAGGAGGAGGAGGAGGAGGAGGAAGAGGAGGAGGAGGAGGAGGAGGAGGAGGAGGAAAGAGAGTGAGAGAGACGCGCAGAGAGGCAGCAAAGCTGAGTACAGCCAGTGAACTCACATGGATCACATTCACCGAGCGGGCTGAGGCCAGCTGCCACGCGCCAAAGTGAGATCTTGGTTGTGTTGTGTCATGTCCCCTACTTTCCCCAACTTACCCCAGGGAGTGACTGCGCCATTCTCAGATAGACCTCCACCGGGTACTGTGTGACAACAAACAAAACGAAAATGAAAGCCAGCCACGCATGTCAACAACAAGGAAAAGATCACAAAAAGCCAAGCAAACCTTTTACCACAACTTGTACCAGAACTTGAAGAAAGTAGAGAGGTTCCGCATAACGTAATTATGTTAGTAAAACCGTAGTCGATCTGCGGAAAGTCTTACATACACTGCATGCGGATCTGTGTTCCACCATACAGAGTTTGATCTGTGTTCCACCATACAGAGTTTGATCTGTGTTCCACCATACAGAGTTTGATCTGTGTTCCACCATACAGAGTTTTCGAGCCACGTAGTTTTGATAGGGAGCACCTCCGTCAGTGAAGCCCCACGTACAGCGCTGCTCAATGAAATCCGGTCTCGACACTCAAGTACATCAATATGCAGTGGGAGTTGTGCAGACCTACGCCTGCAAACACTGGGCTGGGAAGGGTTGCAAGGCGCAAACGTGAGTGACGCTCTGGATTTCATTGAGCAGCACTGTACATACTCTACGTAGACAACTTTCCAAAAGTGGAGTGCAAACGCGACCGCCAATTCACTGGTTTTCCCGCTCAACTTCACGTAGCACGGAACCTCTCTGTACATAGCATCCACAAACAGACATATCCACTGTAAAGTGAGCAGCCGGGTTTTATAGTAAACAAAATTGTACATCCAAGTGCCTGAGGTGTAGCGGGTACATGTACATCAAATGGGTGGTATGCTCCCGCCATACTATACTACAGCAAATACAGTCAACTGTATGCTGCGACAGGACCATTCTCGGCTAGCCACACGGACACTTGCATTGCACTGGCATTGCAGCATATTGTTGTTCTCTTGTACTGTTGTAGATGCCGGGATACACCGCCATGTCAATGTACTGTGGCTTGCTTGCCAGGGCTGATTCCAGCATGCCCTATGCCGACCATGTTGCATATGTGCGCTGCAGGCTGTCTTTCGCGCTGCTCCGGTCCACCGTTCATGTGTTTTCGTGGGTCTCGGTCTGCATACCATCGTCCAGCTAACGAGCTCAGGGAGCTGGTGGTGGTTGAAAGCCGGATCTAAACCAGTTGTCTTTTAGTGTAAAACTCTTGCCACTCTCATGTCATGAGACATGTTTTCCACACCTGTGTGTTATTATCTTCCTAAAGCTCCTATCACACCCTGGTTCCTCATCATTAGACACCCTCAGCAAAAAACGTTATGTTACGGTATTACCGTAAGGGGAAAAATACCGAGATTTTAGTACACTGTTGCCATGAGTATAGCTTTTAATCTGCGTGGTACAACCATTTATGGCACCATATACGCGATACAAGGTGAAATGGGTACGCTCAACGCAATGTTTGGCCCAAAACGTACCGTTTGTCACAACGATAAATCAGCCCCCATAACGTTTTTACGCTGCAGCTTCAACGCTATTTGGGAGATCAAGGTATGAGTACCGTAAAGAATAGCGTTACCGTTGTTTGCTAAGGGTGTCTATTGTGTTGCTTTTGCCCGTAAAAGAGGCTGTTGGACTCTTGACGGTATATAGGTAGCGAAAAATGCACTGATTCCGATAGTGAAGGACCTAGGTTGATCGGAGCAGCCGTTCCCGAGCTTGAAGTTTGCACTAAATTTGGTGACATCGTGATGACGCCATAAACTTGCCCAATGCCCAGACTAGGCCGGATGTATGACGTCAGAGAGGGATAGACTTTGTATGGGAGTAGATGGGAAAAAACCAAATTCTTTCTTGTATCTCTGCAACAATGAATTTCATACTAGAATTTTTTCCAGTCGGGATTCCAGTATGGTGCCATATGTTCCATACCGAAGTTTGAAAAAGACTCGACTTCTGCGGGACAATGGAGAGCCAAAATACTGAAATTTCCCCATCTACTCCCATACAAAGTCTATCTCTCTGATGTCATAAATCAGGCCTGGTCACAGTGGGCTGGGTAAGTTAATGATGTCATCATGATGTCACCAAATTTAGTGCAAACTTCAAGCTGGTATAACTCCGGAACGGCTGCTCCGATTAACCTGGGACCTTCACCATTGGCCTTGATTTTACAGCTAGGAAACGCAAAATCGTATGGCAAAGTGCAAGAAAATTGTACAGTATGAGAGCCTTTTAGTGTACACTCGGACGTCTCTTATCCGGGCACCTTGGGACCGGGCACTGCCCGTATCTCAGACTTGCCCGTATCTCAGGATAACTCATCTACCATGTATCATATTTTTTGAAGATGTTTATTTGGCACGTATTGCACAGTCATGTTCAGATTCCAGAAAGAATGCATTGATAAAATGTGTGGATTTCACAGGTCGGTGGTGACAAAAAAAGCACTTGCGCATACGAAAAAAAGTTCACCCCCCCCCCCCCCCCCCAAATTCCAAGCATTTTTGCCATAGGAACTCAAGCTGAAGGTGGCCGGTAGAGAGACGTGCCCGTATCTGAGGCGTCCGGATAAGAGACGTTTGAATGTACTATTAAAGGGGTAGTCCCAAAAGTTTCTAGCGTCCCAGAAAAGAACATCGTTCATTTCGTACTCTGACCCCTCCCCACCCTCCGAAATGAACACAGCTTGCTTTGCTGGATGACAAAAACAGCACGCATGTACATGCTACAGTGGCGGTCGACTTGAGATTTTCGCTCACACCCTCCCCCAGATGAACGATGTTCGTTTCAGGGACGACGAAAACCTTTGCGACGACCCCTAGGATCACGCTTAGCATGTTCTTGTGCAGAGCTCAAAGGCAAACTGAGTACGGATTGTCTACACATTGATACATTGATATTCTGAGCAACCGCTCCAGTTTTACCTATAGGAGAATGGGGGGAGAATGGGTCCTATAAGCTAACTGCACCCTAGAAAGACTTTTAACGAGCCTTTTTCCATACATGTCTTGGAATCGTACGACTCCCTGATGCCCATAAAGCAGCCATTCTTGGCGCATATGTCATAATATTATTACTTTTGTGACTATGATTAGTATGAATCCTGTATGATGCAAGTGCTGAGTCTGTAATTGCTGTACAGCATCACTCTAGTCTAGACTAGTCTAAGATGCACAGCGCACCCAGATATACACAATGTAACTGACGTACCCACAATGGCAGAGATTTTTTCCATCGTTGCGTAAGTATAAGTGGCAGTAATAATAAGGTGACAGATCAGTTGTAGGCTGCTCAACTACCGGCCTAGGGCCTGGTACGTGATGAGTAGGACTGCATGCAGTGCTGCTGCCCTTATGAATGAAGTAATTCCTTACTACAAATGTACAGAAATGGTATTGTGTGGAAGGGCTTCTTAGACTCTGCTACCTTCGTGCATAGAGTCACACTACTATCGCTAATCAGTGCCACAAACCAGTACTGTACAGTTTATATACTACATAGGGCTCACAGTCAGCACTCCCTGCGCAGGTAGCTAAAAACTATTACAAACAACACAAAGACATTGATTTCGAAATGAAAGTGCATCATGCATGAATGATCGATCTGGACCTGTACAGTGTACTGTACTGTAGTCTGTAGGCTGTATACTGTAGTATACCATGGCCTTTGTATAAAACCCGTGTACCACTATCCCATTATATCGACGGCCGCGTGGCCCAACGGATAAGGCGCCTGACTACGAATCAGGAGATTCCAGGTTCGAATCCTGGCGTGGTCGAATTTTTTCTTTTTCGGACCTTTTAGTTTTATTTCTCTGGCACACATAATGCACTGCTACACTGCACTGTACGAGCTAGCACGGAAGTTTTTTAGTGCTCGACTCGAGCGCCTGATGTACGTACAGTGTCAAGCTGACCAGATCACTCGAGCGCGAGCGACGAGTGCCTTGTATGATCTGAGTAGATCTACGTAACGTGAAGCCAGAGTATATACCGTCCGATATCCCTATTGCCTGTGGCATCGAAGATATTGGAGCGCGTTGTCTACGAACAGCTGCAGACATATTATTATATTCAATCTGAGCCTGACCTTTTACCGCCTCAACAATTATTTGCATACCGGCGTTCCCACTCCTGCGAGGATGCTCTCACCCTCTGTGTCGACCGTTGGCACAGGTGTCTAGATAAAGGCCAGTGCGTAGCAGCTGCTTTCCTTGATCTAAGTAAAGCGTTTGACTGTGTAGATCACACACTTCTAGTCTCTGAACTATTTGATTGTGGCCTTGGAGACACAGTTCTCTCCTGGTTTCAGAGCTACCTGGCAGACCGAACCCAGGGAGTCGTAACTCCCCAGTCTTCCCCAGGTGAGCCATACCACTGCACCCGTGGCGTCCCACAAGGGTCCGTCCTGGGACCACTATTATTCACGATTTACACCCGCTCCCTTCCCTGCCATGTTAAGCAGTCGACCACGTAACGTTGCTGTATGCAGATGACACTACACTGTACGCTGACAGTTCATGTGCAGAGCAAGCCGTAGTTACCTTGGAAAGAGACATTGCTCACGTTGCCTATTATCTCTCTGAGCGTGGTCTCAAACTCAATACCGCAAAGACTCAGTACATGCATATCCGTACTCCGGCTAGCCGCCCCCTAATGCTCGACGGTATTAGTATTTCCTCAGCTTTGAGCGTAAAATACCTTGGCTTGGTCATTGATGAACATCTATCCTTTAAACCACAAGTTGCAGCCCTCCGGAGGAAAGTTGGCGCCAAGCTAAGTACCATGTACAGAACACGTCGCCTCCTGACCACCCGAGCTAAACGTACATTCTACTTATCCTTCATACAATCCACTCTTGAGTATGCGAGTAATGCATATGTACACTGTCTTCGCACCACAGAATATGATAACCTGATCAAGATCAGTAAACGTGCATTACGGATAGTGTTTGGTTACCCCTCGTCGACGCGTCCTCCCATTCAGCCCCAATTTTTTTTTTTTTTTTTTTTTTTTTTTTTTATCACATTGCACATACCTACGGAAGAAGGGGGAGACAAAACGAAGACGAAACAAAAAAGACAACAATGGGTGTGTAGGCGCTACATGAGCTGCGCTGGTGAGATGCAGTGGACTCCCCCGACCAAGGGTCTCGGGATCGGCGTACACAGCAAGCACCATGGGAGAGGGGGGCGAGAGGAATGGCGGAGAGAGAGAGAGAGAGAGAGAGAGAGAGAGAGAGAGAGAGAGAGAGAGAGAGAGAGAGAGAGAGAGAGAGAGAGAGAGAGAGAGAGAGAGAGAGAGAGAGAGAGAGAGAGAGAGAGAGAGAAAGAGAGAGAGAGAGTTCTCGCACGCTTCTCTTTAATGCCAATTTCAGTCCGCTTCAGTTTAAAATTGTACTCAGTTGTTTTCCGTTGCGTCCTAGGCCAGACCAGTGTCCTTCTTCGAGACCTCTTTGTACTTCGCTCTTCAGCAGCTAACACTTTGCAATGTCGGACCCGCCTTCACTCCTCCAATGGTCTTGTTTGACCCCGAGTTTATTCATGCTACGGTCTGTTTTCTCTCTCTTATTTGGCTGCAGACAGATGGAATAGTGCTCCATCTGATATCCGCACTGCTGGCATCGCCATCCCTATTTCGCCATGCATTACTTTCATTCTTAGGGTACCCCGTAAGAAGACCTTGAGTCTGTGGGGATTGCCCTATCAAAATACGAATAAATAATAATAATAATAATAACCGGTGATGTACTCTAGGTACAGTAGTACTAGTAGATAAACAGTTTATTGGAAAGGCTTCCTTGGAAAGGCTTCCTGTCTGAAGCCTTTCCATACTGGTACTCGATGTTCCAGTTTTGTGACACGAGAATGGCACGAGAATTAGTGTACCGCTGAGTGTACCGCTATACACGTGGTCGACACGTAGTCGACACGTTGTTGATACTTTTTTGACACGTGACCCCGTCAGCGGTCTGCTTTGTACTTTTGTGCCAATGCCACTCGGTAAACGCCGATGTCGCGTACGACAAAGACGACTATCCCGTACGCGAAATAGTTGAGAATTGCATGACGTGGACCTGACGGCAAGGACAACTGCGAGGAGGCCCCTTTCGGTACCCCTGACGGGAAGGAGAACTGCAGAAGTCGACGAAGTCGAACGAGGAGGCCCCTTTTCCGTACCCATACTGCAAAGTGCCATTGATGGATACCTTTTGCACCTGGAACGACCCCTTAACCTTTTGAGCACGACGCTACCTGAATGCCGCCCCACGTCAACACCTGCAAAAATCGCGTTTTTCCTATGAAAGTAGTAGCTGTTCAAGGATCGATAACTTTACCTTTCTTTGGACGAATTCCACGATCTTGAGCTTCCTGCAAAGGTCTTGAGACGAGGAACAAAATAGTTCCAAGCTCAGCTCGGAGCGACACCAAAAGCCCATGCTACAGTCTGGCAAACTTGACGCACGGGCTCAACAGACTTGAGCACGGCCAGGAGATCAAATCCTCAGCTGCCATTTCACTCTCCTTGCTCGTATCGAGCTCAAATTTTTTTGAGGGCTCGCCAGATCCGCTGCCATCATTTGAATCTAGTTTCCATGGCAGCAGATAGCGCGAAAATGATCGAAAATGGAAAATACGCGTTCTGCAGAGTTCGCAAAAAAATCGATTTGAATTTGCCGTGTCGAGTCGCATATCTCAACAACCCGGGGTCGTATCGCTTCGGCGATTGTTTCTATCGCAAGCTGAGAGTTTTCTCTTGCAGATACATAGCGCCAAGACATCAACCGCTTGTCAGCGGAGAACCGTAGGCTGAAGGCAGCAGTAGAGAAATGTAATGACGATGTTGGCAAGGCGGACAATGGTGCCAAGTCCGCCATTGTCGAGATGAAGAAAACATTTGCCGACATCACTGCCAGCCATCCTGCCGCCAGTCCAAATTCTGCTGCAAGCTCCAAATACGGACTGTCCGAGGAGACACTGCGTGACCTTGTTGCGGAGGCCAGTGAGCAGCAGAACAGAGTAAACAATGTCATCCTTCGCGGCGTACAGGAGCTCCCATCGGAGAACCTGTCTGCCATAATCGGCACCCTCGCCCCACAACTCGCTCCAGAGGACATCAAATCTGCAGCCCGGCTTGGCCCCAGCCATTCATCACGGCCACGGGATGAAACATCTGGCTCACTTGCTGGGGCAAAACCAGCGCCTCGTCTCGTGCGAGTGGTGTTGTCCCCACAGGGGAAGAATTTACTTCTACGCAACAAAACGTCAGCACAATATAAAGGAGACAACGTCTACATCCAACACGACCTAACCCGACAAGAACAACGACGACGGAAGGACTTAGTCCCGAAGTTTCGAGCTCTTCGCGACAAAGGTGTACGATGTCACCTCCCCCGTGACAAGATTATCAATAATGGTGCACCGCTGTCATCAGACGACATCACCCGTCTCCTCAACACAGTCACCCAATAGGATACTGCCAGGGCATCCCCTCAAACGTCAGCACGAAAGCTAAGTATCGCTCACCTCAATGTATGTAGCCTGTATAATAAATTACATGAAATTGAAGCACTCATGCATGCTCACGATTTAGACATATTAACGTTAACGGAAACTTGGCTATCCGACAGTGTACCTGACATATGTATTACAGTACCTGGATACACCATGCATAGACTTGATCGGAACTCAAAGAGAGGAGGTGGTGTCAGTATATACGTAAGAGAAGGCTTTGATAATCGAGCACTACATCACTCCTCTCCCATTGAAGCCCTCGCAGTACACGTGAACATTCACCCCCAGCCTCTCACTATCCTCTGTGCATATAGAGCTCCAACAGTACCTGTGGCATTTTGGCAAAGCCTATCTAGCCTAACTGATGACATACTGGACTGTACACCGGCCTCCTCCGCGTGCATAATTCTAGGCGATTTCAATGTCAATGTCCAAGACCCTAGTCACGCACACTACCCTCACCTACGAACATTCTGCTCTGATTTTGATCTCCGAAACGTTGTCACGTCACCAACTAGATTCCCCAGTGCAACAACCATAGACCTAGCACTGATCTCAAGCTCCTCCTCCACCACGTCCACTGCAAGACCAGGCAGGGATGAACTGATTTACAAAGACTGCAATGTTATTCCATGTGATATTTCCGATCACCAACTTGTTCGTGTGACCTACACTATCCATGCTACCACCAGCACGCTCAAGACAAACAGACAGGTACAAGTACGAAAGCCACCGCTGCGCGCGTTGAAGATCAAGCAATTCCAAGAGACAGCTGCTAAGCATATGTATACTCTCCACCAGCAGATCACACGCAGTTCATCACAGATGTCTCTAGATAGTTATACTGAACACTGGCAGGATGCAGTCAGTGATGCCTTGAATGAGTACTGCCCACTAAAGACCGTTAACGCCAAGAAGAGCTATACTCCATCGCCTTGGATAGACGATGAGCTCCGGCAGACTTTATTCAAGCGTAAACGAGCACACCGTGCAATGATAAAACGTCCAGATCGCCCAGACCTGCTGCAACAATTCCGAACTCTACGAAGACAATGCAAACTTTTG